AGTTTATTAAGTTCTTTAGATTCCACATATAAGTGAGATCATGTGATGTTTGTTTTTCTCTGCCTGGCTTATTTCACTTAGCATAGTATTCTCCAGGTCTATCCATACTGTCCCAAAGGGTAGTAGGTCCTTTTTTCCCCCACAGCTTCATAGTATTCCATGGTGTGAATGTCCCACAGCTTTTTCATCCACTCATTTACTGATGGGCACCTGGGCTGTTTCCAGATCTTAGCTATTATAAATTGTGCTGCTATGAACATAGGGGTACATATATTCTTTCTGATTAGTGTTTCAGGATTCTTAGGATATGTTCCTAGAAGTGGGATCACTGGGTCAAAAGGCAGCTCCATTTTTAATTTTTTGAGGAACCTCCATATTGTTGTATCCTTTTAATGTTTTATCTGCTAAAAGCTGTCATCCAAGCATTTTTAGCTGGTAATAAAACTTTACATTTTATTTTTAATTTAGTTATTAAATTTTGAAATATTTTGGAATGAAATATACAAAAGATAATTTGTCAGTCATCATAGTCCTATCACTAAACTGACCATTTGCCCTTTTTGATTCTTACAGTAAGAAATCTAAAAATTCACCAAAATTTATGTAAGAAGGAGAATGTACAATTTTTTTCTGGAAAGGTTCTTAAATGTGAAAAACGATCTGCAGCTGAAAGGTCAACAGGACTAATTTTTAGCTAAATTTAAGATAATATTTTAAAAACAGAAAATCTAGCCCAGCTGGTGTGGCTCAGTGGTTGAACATCAACCCGTGAACCAAGAAGTCCTTGGTTCGATTCCTGGTCAGGGCACATGCCCAGGTTGCAGACTCAGTCTCCATAGGGGGTGCGCAGGAGGCAGCTGATCAATGACTCTCATCTGTGTGTCTATCTATCCCTCTCCCTTCCTCTCTCTCTAAAAAATCAATTTAAATTCAAAACTATGTTAAAAATACTTAAAAAATAAAAATAGAAACAGAAAATCTATAAAATGAAATTATTTTAACTTCTGAAAAAATATAGTATTATTACATTACTATTAAATTTTAATTATTTAAAAATTAATTGATAAAGGTATTTTAAAGATTCTTAGCCATTTATCTATCTGAATATTATCTCAGCACATTCTCTGTCTTCTCTTTCTCTGTACTCCTCTTTGGCATATGCAAGAGTAGTTTATTCTTGCTTCCCTATCACTTCAAATTTTTTTATCCCTTCGAAGTTCTACTTTCCTCCTTTATTTTCCTAACATGGATCATCCATTTCAGTAATTTTATCTTCATCTGCATCTAAATCCTTTCCAATGAAGTTTTATCAATGACTTTTCTTCATTCTACTATTTGTCTTGTTTTCAAATTTCCTGTCCTTTAGTATTAGTCTCATTCTTCCTATTATGGTTCTTGTTTTGCCTAATGTTTACTTAAGTACTTCTTATGTGATTGATTGCAGATTGTTCCATTATATGAAGTTTGTTCTTGGTGGATTAGTTCCTAGAACATTAAGTACTCAAGGCTTCAACTACCATCGGTATGCTGCAAACCCTTTAACATTTCCCTCTACATGCCTAAAATCCAGTACAACTCAAATATAAATTATCAGATTTTCACAAATCAACCGGTTCTCCTCCATGATTCTTAATGTGGTCAATGGCATTATTATTCATTCAGCTCCTTAATCCTCAAACATCAGAGTAATCTCCCAATTTTCTTTCATCCTCAATTGACATCAAATCCATCAATCAGTTCCACTTAGTACACTTATTAAATGTTTCTTGAATGATTTGTTCCTATAGAATGACTTCTGCTCTTGCTGTTTTTTTTTTTACATATATCAAGTTGCCATGCCCACTGACACCCAAATGGAATTCATGTTCCATAATGGTTCCTCATATTGGTAATTTCTGCATTCAAACTTCCCATCAGCTAGCTTTCAGAAAATGTTTCAAGGGACTATTTTCTCAATTCCCTCAGAGATTTTAGCACCATTCTAGATGTTCAGGAGTAAAGCTAATTTATTATCTATAATAGATGCTCTAAGGCATCATTGACGAAGGTTGCTAGATGAGTTTTAAATTCCTTAGCATTAATATAGGAGTTTCACAAGCCAGTCTGACTTGCTTCACCAGCATTTTCACTTATTTTTAAACAACTAGAATATATATTAGCCAAACTTCTGTTAATACTTCCTGAAAGAACAACTGCCTTTTTACTCCTCTGGATCTTTGATAGGAATGATAACCCTAGATAGAGAAATATCATTAGACATAAATCTATAAAGTCTTTACACATACATAGTATAAATCCCACCCACAATCTATATCCCTTTTAAAGAGTCTTGATAAAGTCTCTATTACATCACATATGTTTTCTTAGAATTGCCTGTCTCCCTCATTACACTGTAAAGTTAGTGAGGGGAAGGATTCATCTTTATATAACCAGGGTTTAACACAGGAATTCAGTATCATATTACTAGGCAGATAATATAACAAAATGAAGCTGCACAGTGGAAAACCTAAGGAAGGCAGGGGAGACTGGCGGAGTTCCCATATGTAAGTCACATATGTCCTTTTGCCCCTTTTATGGAAATATAGGCCCAATTTACCACATTTTCTACTTTTCCAGTAGAATGAGAAAATCAAGATTAAATTATAAATATCTCCTGATTTTTAATATTTACAACTAAATAACGTGAATTATTAGGCTAGGCCACCTGTTGGAAACTGGCTGTAATGAAACTGCTCTATGTAGAAAGTACACAGATATATTGTGGTTTCTAACAATCAAATTTAGTACAAAGATAAAGATAAAGGAGAGACCATGAAGCATAACTGGGTAGCAGGTCCTACACTATCTTCCTGAAAACTCTCTCTGCACATTTGGGCTTTTTGTAGGAACTCAAAGATGTCAGACCTTCTGAAAGGGCCAAGAGCACCAGGAGCCCGTGTTTCAGACTGAGAAAGGATCCACAGGCTTTGGCAGTCACATGTAGGTGACAAGGTTAACCTTCTATTCAAAATGAATAATACATAGAAACCACCATGTTTAAATGGTAGTTGTTTTGCTTGTATTTATTTGAGTGCAAGGCTCTGCTTTCCTTTTTTCCCTTTAGCATAATCAACACTGAAGCTCAGGAGATTAATAAATTCCTTTCTGACCAAAGTTAAATATATGAGCACATTGTCTCCCTCTTGAGATATTAGGACACACATATTTATTTAATATATTTGTAACATCCTCCCAATTTATATTATTCTTTTATTAGGAAAGCAAAACCTATAAACATTATCACACCTCTTACCTCAAAATCAACATCTGCACAACAGCTGCACACAAGACACGGACCAATGATTTTGAGTGTGTCTTCCCTCCTCTCGTTCTGGATTGTAAGTTTGGGCAAGCACGGGTGCCAATTCTGAATAACATAACCCACTGGTACGCCAGGAGGAGCATGGATTTCTATCTATAAAGCAACAAAACATATACACATTGTAATAATAATCATAATGTCTAATAACGACCCTCATTTACTGACTACATTCTAAGCGTCAGACACTGTTCTAAGCACCACTTGATTTACAACACATCTTAACAGGCTGGTACTATTCCTATTTATAGAGGAAGTAACTGAAGAACAGAGAGCTAACTAACTGTATCAGATTCCCCAGCTACAAAGTGGACGAGATGAGTCACAAACTCTGCCACTGCCTCCATAGACTCCACTCTTAAGCACTGCTCTGCTGACCTTGTACATTTTTAAATTTCCATACTTATGAAACATGTCTAAATTACTAAGGAACTCTGTTCCCATACTTCTTTAAAAATAGTGGGTTATGCCCGGCCAGGTGTGGCTCAGCGGTTGAGCGTTGACCTACGATCCAGGCGATCGGGGTTCGATTCCCGGTCAGGGCACATGCCCGGGTTGCGGGCTGCAGCCGATCAATGACTCTCTCATCGATATTTGTGTCTGCTGTCTCTCCCTCTCCTTTCCTCTCTCTGAAATCAATGAAGATATATTAAAAAATAAAAATAAAAATAAAAATAGTGGGTTAGACATATGAACAGAACCCTGATGATCACTGGTGCAATTTTCAGATATGCGTGCTGATGGTTCTACAACGGAAAGGAACTGGGGCCTGGAATCTTGGCTCTGCTATTAGCTGGGTGGCCTTGAGAGTTCCTCAGTGCGCTCATTTGTAAGTGATGTCGTCCTAGACTGTTTTCTAAGATCCATAGTATAATGTTTGTTAATGTGCTCTTTACATTTGGAGCATATTCCATCAAACTCTCCACTTTCCCTCAGATATTCCTATGGACAGATACTGTTATACCTTACCTAAATGACAACACACAAAATAATTCAGCAGGAATAACTTATCTTTTGAAAATTAATGCAGTCTTAGACTTCAAATATCTATGTGGCTGTGCCTCAGTCTGTTCCCCGGTCCCACAGCTACTTGTTGGAATCACTGACCAGGCAGGGCTGGTCTCAGGCAGTGGAAGACAGGCAAAGGCCAACTATCCTGTAGGCCCTCTGTGCCCCGGTGTCTCTCCGAGATCCACACTCTGAATCAGTGAGCTGGCAAGTAATATGAAACAGACACTTGGTCTTTAGAGAGCTGAAGGTACCCACACCTAGCATATTTCTATTATAGGAGACTCAAATATATTAATTTTTAAAAATGGGGAACTTAAACACACAGGAGTGGAGATTTCTCAGAGGCAGTCTCCCCTGGGTTTCTTCCTTAATAGGGTGGCCCAAATTGTTGGGTGAACATGTCTGTTCTCTTCCACGTTCTCTGTACACTTGCTCCTGGAATTGTATTCTAGGGTATTCTCTGGGGTGCCCTCCTCCAGCTTCAGGCAGGCCTCTCCTGGTCATTTCAAGTAAAGGACTTGACCAAGGTGCCTTATCTTCTCAGCTCTCCCCAAATTCAGACTCTGAGCGATGCTCATTCCCACGAGAGACTTTCTCAGGGCGAGGGGGCTCACTACTCACTATTTTACCCCAGCCATCCTTCTTGTCCACATTACTTTCAAGCATAAAATAATATCTCATGGGAAATCTTTAGAAAATCTCATTTGATTATATAGATTCAATGAAAGGGTGAAAATTTTTGTTGAACTGCTTTACATATTCCCCAGGCAGTTGCTCACTGACCTCCTGAAGGCAGCAGGGGCAGCAACAGCTGGAACATCTCAGTGGTCTCTGCAGAGTTATGACCTCTCGGCCCATCAGATCAAGAATCCTCATGGTAAAAGGCCTATCCGCTCCACAGCAATTTCGGGTACAGCAATCAGTATCTTCCACAGCAAAGTAAATTCTCTGTCCAAGGCTGTTCTTAATCTCATATTTGTTATTTGTTTCAAAACCTGTTAAGACTAAAAACATAAAATGGAGTCAGTATGACCATTATGATAAAAGAATACTGAATCTATCCTAAGATACTATAATATCTCGTTGTATCATTTTTAGATAATATTTTATGTCACACAGGGAGAAAGAAAACGACAGGTTTCAGAGATGACTCTAACAAAGAAAAAACAGCAACGGAGGACAAGCAGGAGAGGGTAGAGAGGGCTACAAAGAGTCTTCTGTGAGACTCGGAAAAGAAAACCCACATCCTCCTAGTTCCACAGACTCCTGTCGGGAAGGGAGGCTCAGCGGCTGGGGGATGGGCAGTGCTCAGATGGCCACCGTCCCGCTAGGTGTATGCAGAGCATGTCCACTTGGTTGGTTCAGTTTTCAGATATTCGTTAGGGAGGGAGGAGAGGATGATTGCTATGCCCATGCTCTGGGAAACAGGATATAAAATAAATTGGCTTGTGACTATGTTTTGTACCATGTTCATGGCTTGCTTTTTGCATGAGTGAGGGAAGGTAATGAAGGCGTTTACTCTCAGTGCACACCTGTGAACAGGGAGAGAAAGTGCAAGGGGGGGTCAGGACTCCACACTGGGTCCCGGGCCCTGTTCAATGCAGCAGTAGTTGCCAGGAGTGGGAGGTGGTATTAGACAAGGGGGAAAAGTGCTTGGCAACCGGGCTGCAACTCATAGAATATCTAGACCACTGGCACCCTAAGTGAACTCTATACCTTGGAGGGGCTGATCTCCTCACTGGGGAAAGAGACATGCTAAATACTCACACCCGCCTGGCATCTTAGCGAAGTCTCCCCAGGGGAACCCACATTGGAAACTGCTCCTTCTTAGTACCAGGAAGGAGCAGTTCCTGGTCTCACTTGTCCAGAGCCCCCATTAACCTGGGTCATAGGATGTTGCAAGCCACCCAAATAACAAGTGATTAAAAGAAATATATGGAGACAAAACAACTCTCCAATATCTGTGTGGACGGACTTTAATTCAGAGAGAGACGTCCTGCACAAAGTCTAGCACCAGGACCTCCTTCAGTGTCTCTCCTCTGACTCACATAGGCCTATTGTCTTAAGTGTTTCACTAGGTAGCTTAATTTCTTAGTAAACTAAAAAATCTTTAGTTTACTTATCTATAGAAGGAAATCAATGGGCTTACACAGTCTCTGAATTTCCATTTACTTAAAAAGTGAAAACAAAAAAACCAAACAAATTCCATGGCTATGTCTTTGTCTATTACGTTTTAAATTGAGAAATGTGGCTGCCATAGTCTCAGATACTAAAAATAAATAGTAATATTCATCTCTTTATATAGTCATGGTGTTAAATTACATATTTTCAATTTGAAACAAAAAACAAATTAAAGACATCCCTTTTAAAAACTGTAGAATGAATGATTACTAAATTTAGAACTTTATATTTTACAATGAATACATATATACTCAAAAATGTAGAAAAGTTATAAATATAAAAACTATGAAGGGGGGGTGTTATAATCTCAAAAATAAATTCCCTAGAATAAAACACGAAAAAAACTCATAATACAATTTATCCAACAACAAAGAGCTCCTTTCCAGGAGTTTAAACTTAGTTTAAACAAACTAACAATAATGAGAACATTATAAATATTTAACAAAGCACACTGTAAGTAATCTAAATACAATAGATAAAAATTGCACATTCTAACGAAATCTATCACTGACTAGTGTAATTCATATTTTAATTCCTACTAGTGAAAAGAAACTTTGTATAGAGGTGAAGGATTTAATATAGTTTTAAAACTAGCAGAGTTTTTGTTAAGCTCTTTACCTAGAAAAAAGATACTTTGGTTTATGAATGCTCCTGGCAGGAGTTTTGAAACATCTGGTGACGTCCTAAGTTCATCTCAGACGTGCGGAGCACGTGAGAGACACCTGTGGGGGCCAGGCCCATCACGTGAGCGCGAGGCCTGTTTTAGGAAGCCGGACCCCTAGGTCTGATGGTCAGCATCCTCCAGCACCCAAAGTGATAATCGTTGGCTCATGGCAAAAAAGTTTAGAGGCTCATCTGGACTCCCAAGAGAAGCTGCTGGCAGGATTGAAATTTTCCCCAAATACCCACCCAAATTCAAAAACTTTATTCACTTTGGAAATGCACTAAGGTAAGTGCCCTGCTGCACATGGCTCTGTGCCAGTCTCAAGGTTACCACATGTTAAAGAGGAAAGCCGAATGAGAGAGGTCAGGGAAAGGGGTAAATCACTGAAATGATTCCTAAAGAGAAGGGGGAGCAGAAATAAGTTTTGGTTGGTTTCCTTCTAAATTAGGGTCTACATCATCAGGACAGATGCCCAGAGTAATAGTCTTTTACCACTTGACTCCTATTGAAGAAATGAGCTGCTGACAACGACCATCATTTCATTATAAGGATGAAAGACACTTGTAAATAGCCAGGCTTAATCATTCCACATTGTGAAAGTGTTATATTTGTGGCTGTTGATATGACTTTATTTGCACAAATGTCTTCTCTTTCTAGAAATATAATCAACACAATCAATACATACCTTCAAGAAGTTCAACTTGCTGATGAACCAGCATCTGATCTATCTATTATAGTAAAAAAAAAAGTTAAGCTGTAAATTACGTATCATGTTTTTTTAAGCCAATCAAATTAATATTAGCATTTTTATATTATAAAGAATATATATAATTAACAATACCTACTAATATTAGCAATATTTACTGATAGTTCATATTACTTCTAGGTATAACTAAAGTTAATATTTTTTTACATTTTTATTTTAAGAAAATTTTTAAAAGAATCATTTATTGATTTTTAGAGAGAAAGGGAGAAAAGAGAAACATCTATATGAGAGATTAACATCAATCAGCTGCCTCCTGCATGCCCCCTATTGGGGATAGAGCCCATAACCGGGTGTGTGCCCTATCCAGCAATCTCTAGGTGCATGGGACAACACCCAACTGTCTGAGCCACACCGGCCAGGGCTAAAGTTAATATATTTTTAATTAAAAATATCTATTGAATGAGTCCACTATTAATGTGGGCAAATTCAGGAAAGTGAGTCATATTATATACAAAATATTATCCCCGTTTTCGGTAACACTTATTGAAACTCAATAGTAAATTGAGTTTGAACTTTTCCAGTTCCTAGGAAATTATTCAGCGTTGGAATTAGAGCCCAGTTTACAGGACAAAGTTTCCAGAAGTAAAAAGCCATTTCCACTTCCTTGGCATTTTGATGCTGAGCAAATTATGAAACTTCTCTGGACCTCCGTCTCCTCTTACGTAAAATAGGTGATAATTATAGCACCTATATATCATAGAAGTATTTTTTAAAAAATATATTTTTATTTATTTCAGAGAGAAGGGAGAGGGAGAGGCAGAAACATCAATGATGAGAGTCATTGATCTGCTGCTTCCTGCATGCCCCCAACTGGGGATCAAGCCCAAAACCTGGCATGTGCCCTGACTGGGAATCAAACCGTGATCTCCTGGGTCATAGGTAGATGCTCAACTGATGAGCCATGCTGGCTGGGTTATCATAGAGTTTTTTGTTTGTTTTTTTTTAAATTTTATTTTTGTTTAAAATATTACAGATGTCCCTTTTTCTCCCCAATTACCCGTTCTACCCGGTTCCTTCCCCCTCCCCAGTCCCTCTCCCCACCATTCATCAGAGAGTTTTTGAAGGGATGAAATGAGTTAATACTTCTATTATACTTAGGAATAAAGCCTGGAAAATGCTGCTTAATAAATGTTTGCTCCTGGATATAATCAAAGATTAATATTCAAGATCACAGAAAACACAATTTCTTTTTTTAAATATATCTTTATTGATTCCAGAGAGAGGAAAGGAGAGGGAGAGAGAGATATGAGACAGTCATTGATCGGCAGCCTCCTGCACACCCCCAACTGGGGATTGAGCCCGCAATCCGGGCATGTGCCCTGACCAGGAATCGAACCCCGGTCGCCTGGATCCTAGGTCGACGCTCAATCGCTGAGCCACACCCGGCCAGGCAGAAAACACAATTTCTTAAGCAGTTTATAGTTTGCTTTAAAAGTAAACCTGACCTAGAAGAATTAGAGTGATTTGTTAGGAAAAAAATGTTGTTTTACCATTACAAACTTTTGTGAATTAGTAATTTGTTAATCTCATTACGTAAACTTGGAAACACAGTTTTCTTTTAACAACTATTTTATGTATTTGAAATTACCTGACTTAAATATTCCAACCCTGGTGGGCAGCCTGATGGAGGAGGTGGTGCTGGCATCCATGGTACCCCTGCAGGTCCACCTGGCTGATTATGCACTGGCTGGTGTTGGACAGGGAAGCCGACTGGACCAGCACCTGAATAGCCAGGTGGTGGGACTGAGTAGGCACCCTGGGGGCCAGGATAGCCTGCCTGAATTCCAGGATAGGCACCCTGGGGGCCAGGATAGCCTGTCAGCATCCCAGGATAGGCAGGCTGTGAGTCAGGGTAGCCAGTATGTCCTGAAGGTCCTGAAATATGAACAAGTGAAATAATTTGTAACTGCCCTGAAAAATGAAAACATCAAGTCTTTGGGATTACCCCAGTATCTACAAACTAAAATTTCAGTTCAGGAATCCTGTATCTATGAAGCTTAAAGTTCATGTTTTATCATTCAGCAAGCTTTAAATCAAATATCTATGCTTTTGTATACACTTCTGTTTTGAGAGTTTTGGGCAGAATAGTTGGCCCAGGCCTTACTCTTGACATTCAAAACTCTGATGAAAATATGCTTAATACCTACGAAAGTGAAAGAAAATCAACAACAGTTATAGTCTCTTGCATAAATATTCAGGAATGCCTTCATGGAAAAGAGAGATGGCAATGAGTGGAAGACTCAACATAAAGGCTTTGAGCCAGGATTTCCAGGACCAAAACACTCTGTAAAAAATGGAAACTTTGGAATTCCAACAAATTGTATCTCCTATGTGTATAGAACTAGAGATAGTTTTGTCTCTTCAAGGCATATATGGAAAGTTCTGGAAATGTTTTTGGCTGTTACAACTAGAGGGGAGGTGACACTGACAGCTGGTGTATAGAGACCTAAAATGCCCAAAATAGCACCCTGAAGAAAAGAATTATCCATCCCAAAATATTATAGTGACACTATTGAGTAAAGGCATGTCATCCCTTTCGGTACTGTCCAGGTAATTTTCAGGGTTAACAATTTCCCTGAAGTTTTAACCCACTGTATATTCCATTCCTAAGACCCTACGTTCCTAAGACTCTACATGAAAAAAAATCCACTGTGATATTTAGGTTACACATTTATTTGTTTTTGTTTCTGTAATCCTCACCTGAGGACATGTCCATTGATTTTAGAGAGAGAAGGGGGGAGAGAGAGAGAAACATTGATTGGTTGCCTCCCATATGCACACCAACAGGAGATCGAATCTGTAATCTAAGTAAGTGCCCTGATCTGGAATCAAGCCTGCAAGCTTTCAGTGTATGGGATGAAGCTCCAACCAACTGAGCCACACTGGCCAGGGTTGGGTTACAAATTTAAATTTCACAATTTAGCACTCTCAGCTATCTGGAAATGCAATTTGAAAACCAAAGTAGGTAAAATGTTATCATGGGCATAAATGTCTTAAGTACTTAATATGCACAATGTATACTGTGTATATTCTAAATTCCACGTGAATTTTACAAGTGTGTGCTCTATATTCCACGTGAATCTTACCAGTGTGTACTGTATATTCCACCTGAATCTCACAAGTGCGTGTACTGTGTATTCCACGTGAATTTCACAAGTGTGTGTACTGTGTATTCCACGTGAATTTCACAAGTGTGTGTACTGTATATTCCATGTGAATTTCACAAGTATACTCATTATATTTGCTGTATTTTGACTACAGTGAAGCTTTATAAGCTTATATATAGTGTACAGAGTAATAATTCCAGAGCAATGAAATATGATTTCAAAGGACTGTGTTCCACAATATTTTAACTGTAAAGGCTATGCCAAATTTGACACTTATAATAGACAATTTGTAAATACTTTTAATGGAACACTAATAAAAAATATATGCACCATTAAAAAGTAAGACTTAAAAGAGAGACTAAACCTCATACTAATGTGTTTTAAATACTACAGCTTTTATAATTCATTCCTTCTACAATGAACAAATTTACAGGTGGTCTATAATCTAGCGGTTCTAGAATAACAGAATACAACTATCCACAAGGCAACCTGCTCTCACGGGGCTTACAGGCAGCTTCTGGGAGATGGAAAATAAATTTTTTAAAAAAGATTTCAGATTGAACTGATTAGAGAAAATGCACAGGGAAAGGGAAGGTATCAACTAGTTACTTTAAAAAAAGAAAAAAAGATTTCAGAGAGAAGAAGAGAGAGGTAAAGAGAGATACAAACATCAATAATGATGGGAAAGAAATCATCTTTCAGCTGCCTCCTGCAACCCTTGACCACCTGGTCCCTGGGTTGACGTTCAACCACTGAACCACACAGGCCTGGCTCAACTAGTTACTTTTAAATAGATAAAGTTTAAGTTGAGAACTAAAAGATGAGAAGGGAAAAGCTTTGTGTGACGATCCAGTGACAAATGTTGTAGGAGGAAGGAAACTAAATTGAAAAATGCCCACTTAGGGGTGCACTTGGCATGTCTGAGAGAGGACCATCCTCAGGGAGAGAAAGACTAGAAATGGCTGTCAGTAAAGAAAGGAGCGGTTCACCTAGGGAATCCCTTAATAAGGAGTTTGGATTCTACTTCAAGTGTGACTCACAGGCAGTAGAGGATTTCGAGCAGAAGAGGGAGTTAGTTCCCTGATCTGATTCATATCTGAAGACGTTTTAGGAGTGCTGAGCACTGGGATTGAAAATGAGAAGTGCAGATAAAAACCCCTGCCTTCATTGCCTAGTGGGAGAGAGAACTTGATTCTCACCCTTACTGTAAGGAGATACACCACTGTGATTAACTAATGGGTAGAATCGTAGATAAGTCATTTGAAGGAGGGACCGGTGCTATGACTATATTTGCCATAGGAAGGTGTTTGGATAGGAGAGGGAAAGGGATGGAGTTGGGACAGCTTCCCTGAGGGCCCAGGGACGAAAGGAGGTGAGTAGGCTGGTGGCACAGTAAGAGCACTTCAGAGAAGCTCTGGCAAAGTAACAAACTCGGGGCTTTTCAGATCAGAGGAAAAGGCCTGCCTACCCGAACAGTAGAGCCAGGTTTAAGAGGCACTTAAAGGGAAGGCCCGGAGCCCCCAGGACCTGGTGGCCAAATTAAACATTCTGGCCTCCAGCTTAAAAGTAATGGGAGGCCAACAGAGACTGAACACTGTCTGCAATATGAAGAGATGTGTATTTTTTAGAGAGCCACTGAAGAAGTGCAGCTGTATTAATTGGTAACATTATTGGTATTAATTCAATCATCTCAAGACACTGGAGAAACAGGATAGGTCATTATTTCCAAAATCAATGGGTTAGCATACAGAATTACCTGAAATTTGGATATTTTCATTTATAGAAAGCCAAACTGATTTAACATATTATTAATATAGTCACCAAATACTTGTCATTTATTACTTGAAAGGCATTGTGCTAGGTGTTTTACATATACTTTCATTTAATCTCTAAATCTGCCTGAATTGGAAAATGTAACCCCTATTTTATAGATAAGAACTGAGGCTTGGAGGTACAGCAACCTGTTTAAAACCACCAACTATCAAGTACAGAAGCCAAAACTGGAAGCCTGATCAAGCCTTTCTATACCTGTTTTCCCACTTCCATAATATGGACAATTAAGAGTATTTACCTCATAAGATATGAGAATTAAATGAGCTAATCCACGTTATGCAGAGTTAGCTGTCAATGTTGTTAGCATCATTGTTATATTAAGACCTGTGCTATATGTGGCCTTGAACTTCAGAAATAAAATTGAGCTATTTTTTCTTACAACTCTCAAATCTGATAACCAAATTTAATTACATACCACCTACTTTTAATGAGCTGTGGGTACATTAAATCATTCTCCAAGTAACTTGGATGAATATTATAGACTTGCTAATAATTCTCCAAAACACCAAACATATAAGAATTTAGAGTAGACTCTGGCCAAGATGGAGGATAGATAAACAGGGTACTTGCCTCCTCCCACAACCACATCAAAATTACAACTAAACTACAAAACAAACATCATTCAGAACCACCTAAAATCTAGCTGAATGGAAGACCTACAAGTATGAAATTAAAGAAGCCACATCAAAACTAGCAGGAGGAGTAGAATGGGGAAAGGCTGGTCCTATACCCACATGTAGCAGATAAAAATAGGGAGGGATATCTTGGCTGTGCAAGTCTCCCCTGCGGAGCAAGAGGTGCCAGCCCCACATCAGGTGCCCCAGCCCAGGGTTCTAATGCCACAAAGAAAAGTCCCCATAACTTCTGACTGTAAAAATCAGTGGGGATTGTGGCTGAGTGAGATGGAGGCTGTTGGAGTCCCAGGCAATTCCTTTTAAAGGGCCCACACGTAGACTCACTCGGACTCATTCCCTCTGAGCTCCAGCACGTGGGCAGCAGCTTGAAAGGCACCGGAAACATACAAGGAGGAAATGCATTGTTTGGCATCAGGGAAAAAGCTGGAGGGAAAGCTTTCTTCCAGACAGAAATGCTGGCAGAGGCCATTGCTCCTTTGATGAGCCCTCCCGCCACAGAGCCACCAGATAGGCACCATATCCATCAACCTGCTCACACTGTTTGCCCCACCCTAGTGAATCCTTGAGGTCCCACCCCACCCAACTTTTGGGCCCACCCAAGCTGTTTCCAGTGGCTTTTCCATTCAAATAGCCTGTCTTGATTGATACTTCAGATTTTCCTAAAATCTCTCAAGCAGCATCTGGTCTCAGCTAGCCCTGTACCTCTCACTAAGCAGCTCCAGGCCAAGCACTAGCAGCAGCCAGCCTTGGTTCACAGCTTGGCTTTGCCTGGACATCTCCAAACCCAACACAAGTAGCAGTCATCTGCAGATCGCTTTGTAGCATATGCCAGGCAGTGGCTGACCTTGGCCTGTATCTCCTAAGAGGAGGACGGAGAGCAAGTGCACCCAGTGGACAGCTTCAGACATTGTCAAGGCTCAACTACAACACCAGGGTGTACAGTCCCACATGGGGGGGTGCAGCTTGAGTACCCAGTTTGGGTGATCGGGGGGGCTGTGCCACTGGACGCTACAGGACACCTAATACTGCATTAGGCCATGCTACCAAGCCTGGGAAACATAGCAGCTCTACCTAATACATAGAAATAAACACAGAGAGGTGGTCAAAATGAGGAGACAAAGAAACATGTCCCAAATGAAAGAACAGAAGTCCAGAAAAAAAACTTAACAGAATGGAGATAATCTACTAGATGTAGAGTTCAAAACACTGGTTATAAGGATGTTCAAGGAACTTAGTGAGGAACTCAACAACATAAAAAAGAATACGTCAGAAATGAAGGATACACTAACTGAAATAAAAAATTTTCAGGGAATCCACAGTAGAGTTATGAAGACAAGAATCAAATCAGCAATTTGGAATATAAGGAAGCAAAAAACACTCAATCACAATAGCAAAAAGAAAAAAGGATCCAAAAAAATGAGGATAGTGTAAGGAACCTCTGGGACAACTTCAAGTGTACCAACATTCACATCATAGGGGTACTGGAAAGAGAAGAGAGCAAGAAATTGAAAACATATTTGCAATAATAATGACAAGAAAACTTACCTAACTTGGTGAAGGAAACAGACGTTCAAGTCAAGGAAGTGCACAGTCCCAAAAAGATGAACCCAAAGAAGCCCACACCAAGACACATCATAATTAAAGTGCAAAAGGTTAAAGACAGAGGAAATCTTAAAGTCAGTAAGAGAAAAGCAGTTAGTTATCTACAAGAGAGCTCCCATAAGACTGTCAGATGGTTTTTCAACAGAAACTTTGCAGGACAGAGGGAGTGGCAAGAAATATATTAAAGGTGATGAAAAGCAAGGACCTACAACCAAGGCTACTCTATCCAGCAAAGCTATCATTTAGAATTGAAGGACAGATAAAGAGCTTCCCAGACAATAAAAATCTAAAGGAGTTTGTCACCACCAAACCAGTATTACATGAAATGTTAGAAGAGTCTTCTTTAAGAAGATAAAAAAATATGAACATTAAAGTGAGAATAAATACATATCTATTAACAATTGAATCTACCAACAAAATGAACAGTCAGAACAGAAACAGACTCAAAGATACAGATAATTTTTTGTTGGTTGCCAGATGGGAGTGGGGTTGGAGGGGTGGGTGAAAAAGGAGAAGGGATTAAGAAGTGCTATTTGGTTGTTACAGAATAGTTATAGGAATGTAAAGTATAACAGAGAATATAGTCACTAATACTCTAATAACTAAGCCTGGTGTTGGATGGGTGTGGGATTTATTGGAGTGATCACTTATTATGTAATGTCTAGTCACTGGTGTACACACTGATGTATGTCAACTGTAATTGAAAATAGAAAATGATTTTTAAAAATGTAGTGCAGTGGTTCTCAGTTCTGGCTGCACATTACACTAACCCATGGAATTAAAAATCCCTGGGTACCACTTCCAGAGCTTCTGCTTCAATTTTTCTGGGTAGTGTTCTGGCACTAGTGTTTTTAAGAGCTCTCATGTAATATTAAGTGCAGGCACCCTTGGGACTATCACCTTAGAGCCTTGGATTTTTTCTAGTTCACATTCTTTTAATTGCCAACATCTGGTGACATCCAGGCCCCACTGGGAGGTTTCTCGCTGGACAATAAAACAGATTTCAGTGCCCAAGCAGACTGTTCAGAGTAGAATACAAAATGCACACACCCATCTGTTCAAACCTGATTCCTTTCGGTCCCAGCTCCCCAGCATGGTCTCTCAAGATGTGGGAAGCCTGCTTACTCAAACGCAAGGCATGGTCCAGAATGTATACAAAAGGAAAGTTTTCACATGTTACCAAATGAAGATGAGAATTATGCCCAGGTAGCCATGTTTCTATCGCTTACAGCTTCCTTTTAAGCAGGCATGTCTTTTCTGTGACTCTCTGAACACAACCTCAGCTATACATGACTCACAAACACTCAGGATTAAATCTTCTAACTATGATTTCATGATTACAATTCTCTGAAGAGATGGAGAATTGATGCAATCTATTACTTAATATGTGTATTTTGGGGTTTAATTTATATGCAGCTTTATATTTCACTTGCTAAATGTAAACTCACTATTTTTATTAACTCTATACCTTTACTATACTGTATAAATAAAAATCACTTTAATAATATTGATGATAACATATAGTCAACCAAAACAAATCAAGAACTAGGCTGCCAATTTCACTACTGCATCTTCAACGAAGTGCAATACTATAGTAAATACAGAGACAGATGACAGACACACATCCACCCTTTGGGGAATTATCAGTGATGAATTTATTTTGGTTTTATTCTTTAAACAAATGTTTTACCTTGGAATGCTGCTGGAGGATATTGAGGATATGCAGCTGGGAAGTTTGTCCCTTGGTGAGGAGCATTCGTTTGCGCAACTGTAATTCAAGGAGAGGTAAACATTTATCTCCTTTAATAAAATATACACTAGAAAGAAAAATACAATGTCTGTGGATAGATAACTTCATTTGCATGATCCTGTGCTGTATTGAAACAGAGTGACTTCTTCATCTAACACAAGCTGTGCCTATTATCAGAATTATTTTGCCATAGAACTCTGTCTCAAACAAACTCCCTTAAAAAAAATTATTGATTTTTAGAGAGTGAGAAAGGGAGAGGGAGAGAGAGCGAAACATCGATCAGCTGCCTCCTGCATACTCCCTGCCCCCCCCCCCCACCAGGGTTGAGTCTGCAACCCAGGCATGTGCCCTGACCGGGAACTGAACCAGAAACCCTTTGGTGCATAGGATGACACCCAACCAAATGACGAACAGTGGCCAGGGCAAACAAATTCCCTTTTGGATAAAATGAGACAGCTGAGTTACTGGGGTTGAATTTCTAGTTTTTAACTATGGAGTGTTCACTTCCATACTTTGATTTTGTTGGTATTATAAAAAAGATGGTTTTAAAACCACATATGGAGTGTGAAAAGATAAGTAAAACTAGGTGGATATGAGGATGAAAATGGAAGGGTTATGGATGATTTTAAAGATATCTATAATCATTGCTATAGGAACTTTTTAAATATTTAAAATAATGCATCTATATCTGTATTTAAATATCCTTTTCATGGTTACTCTGGAACTATATTAATAAGGTTGGCCAAAGTAAATTCTGATATTTGACCTACAGAAATCATAACTGACTTAATTACAATAACCTAACAGATTAAATGTTGTTATCTGCTAATCAATGCAGATAACATTAAATAACCCTAATTCTGTACAAATAGTTCAATATCCTAGTTCTTCATATTTATTTCTCCAGTTATTCATTTAGTGGCCACCCCAGCCAGACAATAAATATCTACTGAGCACCTCCGGTCTCACCCCTGAGTTAGGCTCTGGGGCTACACTAGCTCTGCCCTCATGGAGCTTATGTGTAGTGGGCTCTTCCCTTATATTATGTGCTCCTCGCTTTCTTATGACTTCTAACTGTGAATTCCAAAGTTTCTTTTTGAATCAAGGGGACATGGCATCAATTCAGAAGAAAATGTTGGCCTAACTTTCAATCTGACACCTCTCCTGTATGCTTCTCTTTCATGAGCCTGTTAAGATCAATGTGATTTCAGCAGGAAGGCTGGAGCCTCTCCTCCATTCATTTAGCTTCATAATAACTTCAGCAGAATGGAGTCCATGGAGACTGTTAATTCAGGCAACAGAGCTACTTCCATCAGGGCTTTACCTTGGAAAGACACATGGAATTATCATAGATTTCTGAAATACTGCAAGCCATTCTCCCCCAACCATCCCCTTCTATTTCTCAGCGTCACATGAGTGGCCTAGCATTTAGTTCTCTAGCTCTTACGGCTCTGCCCACAGCCCCTACTCTCGATCTGAGTTGGAGACAACAGGATCAGACTCAACGGATCTTGAGGAAACACACTGCAAGTCTGACTTAAAGACCTACCCTTAAATGATATGTCACATTTCGGCACCTCTGAACAAGTACCGTTGTTTGAACGATAGTAAAGATACACATAGGTCCATGACCTGACAGAATAAAGAAATTAGGACCTCATCATCTCTGGGATTTTGGTACCAGAGCAACGATCCTGGTAACAGGATCAGTGGAAATTCATACAAAGACAAATACATGGATGGGCAAGTGGTCAAGTAGAGCAAGGAGCATATGAATCACAAGTGAATTTGTGAAATGCAACCTAAAATAACATAAAATCATAGGAGTATCACACTGTTGTAAAGGTATTTTATTTTTACTTATATATATACATAGGTACATTTCACTTCTATTTATGCATACATATACATACAAATCACATATATTGAAACTGCAGAGTTAAAAGGTGACTATGACTGTGACCGAAAGAATCTTTCTAAAGTGATTTGAAGCATCCTAAAATTTACAGCAAACAAAACAGCTTAATATCATATAAACTTACATTTTAAAAGCTTTGAGTTTTGTAAGTAAGATTAAATTGACATAGCAAACATTAAGAGAATATCATGAAACCTCCTGAAGAGCCGAGGTTTCTGGTCCTAAGAAATGATACTACGTGCGTAGCAAGGCTGACCTTGTGGTGAGATAAACACCTTTGGTTATCTAAACAAAAATAAAGAGAGAATGCAAATCCTTTCATAACACAGGATTTTGTTTTTCATATTTCCCCCGATATGTATTGCTTTAGGTTTTCAATAAGACAATGTCTTATTACATGCTTGGTCAATATTCTTGAAAGAAAAAAAGCCAGAATATAATGCTTGGCATTTATTTAAAACTATTCACGTGTGTGTATGAAATATATATCAGGGATTTATGTGAGGATTTTATGATGATGAACTGACATTAAATTTATTATCTTTAATTAATATTATTTGAATAACCTTTATGTATATAAAATACACATAGCAAAGTGAAAACTGATATGAATGAAATATAGTATAAATTATACAACATATTTTCCAGTAAGCCTAAAATGTTTTAGTTTTATCTAAGGCTTTTTTATTTTAAAGGACAAATTAATGGTAGTGGATATCTATTTATACTATATATCAAAACACTGAAATAGGCTTTGGATTCCAGAGAAGAAACAACACAAAGAAAATGATATTCTTTCAGAAACTGAATAAAACATAGGATAGTTAATGTATTAACAACAGATTTAACATTATAGGGGAAAAGTAAACACATAATTTACTTACTTTGTTTGTCCATGATTGAAAAAGTTCTGAAAAAGAAGACCTGATATTAATACATCAGTTACAATTTTATAGGTCAAGTATGACAGTTAAAACAAGATACTCTGAAACTACACATGCATATAAGATATTCCTCTATTCATCTAGTTAACCAGAATCTGTTCACTTAAACCCTTGGTCTTGCTCCATCCCCACTGCTATGTTTCTGAGGAGGACTTCGGAAGTTTTGGGTCAGCTCAGGTGGTGGCCAGCTCAGGGCTGGGCTCCATTTGTGGTCCAGCATGAGTGGGAGAAAGCTTAGCTATCGGGTTACACGACAGCAAATACCTCTGGAAAGTCCAGGTCCTGGGGGTGTGTTCTGCCCAGCTTGAATGGCAAATCTGAAGAGGCCTGACCCTTTGTTCTATACTTTAAAACATGCTTTTAAACAAAGAACCCACTCTCAGGGGTTGTCATAGTTGCAGTAGCATGACAATCCACCTGAAATATTGTGTTTGGTTATTTCTATTGAAAATAATAATAATAGCCCGGCCGGGCGTGGCTCAGCCGCTGAGTGTCAACCTAGGATCCAGGCGATCGGGGTTCGATTCCTGGTCATGGCACATGGCCAGGTTGTGGGCTCGATCAATGACTCTCTCATCATTGATGTTTCTATCTCTCTCCCTTTCCTTTCCTCTCTCTGAAATCAATAAAGATATATTTAAAATAATAATAATAATAATAATAATAATAATAATAAACATTGTGCTCAGTACTTCTGCCTTCCAGTGCCTCGATCCCATCCTACACTTTCCCACTCCTACCCAGTCACTACATTCTCTCTCCACTTTATATCCCAACACCCTATATGCCTGTTTAGAACAATTAACACATGAGACAAAAGCTCTGTTACCTGTTTTACCTCAGACCCACACACTAACATAAATCAGCCCTGCCCTTCCCAGCCCTCTCCGGCCTTGGCTACCACTTTATTAAGGCTTCCTCATGTTGTCCTAAATGGTAAATAAAAAGTCAATGGATCCCTCTCTATTCTTTACTAAAATCTGGTGTTCCCAGGAAGAAACCATGTCCCTCCTCTCATTTTAATTTTTGTTTTGCTTTGTTAAACCTCACCCGAGAATATTTTTTCCACTGGTATTTTCCAAAAGAGTGCAAGGGGGGTGGAGGGGGGATGACACACTGATTGGTTGCTTCCTGCATGAGCCCTAACCAGGGCCTGGGATCGAACCTGCAACCCAGGTACATGCCCTTGACTGGCAAAAGAACCCTTGACCCTTCGGTGGGCAGGTCAACACTCTAACCACTGAGCTAAATGGGCCAGGACTCCTTTTATTTTATTTCTTTATTATCTACTTTAAGCATAAAAAAGTCATAATCTAGTAAAACTCTTATTAATATTCTAATGATAGTCACCTCTCAATTACGTGCGCTCAGGAAATTCAGCAATGGTTGAATAATTTGGAACAGGTTTACCTGGGCCTAAAATAAAGCAAAACACTTGTCTGAGTTACTCATTTGACTTCCTAGACTACTTAGAATGATAGTAACCCAACTTTTCATTAGCTAGTCAGAAACCAACTGCTGTGGACCTCATCAGGCTAGAAGGGCAAAAATATTAACATTTATGTTTTTCTTCAGTTAGTCTATAAGATGATCAATAAATAAACATATATAACAAAGCTGGCTAAAAGTCTTCATAAGCCACATTCGTGTTTTAGGTTCTGTCATAAAAGGAACAGTAAAAGGAGACTGAAGTCCTACGTGCCAAATGCCATGGCTATTTTTGTAAATCTCACATTTCCACGATCAAATATTATACATTAAAAGTAATATCCATTACCTTAAAATATGCTATGAGTACCTTCACAGATACATAAAATTAAAAGACTAAAGTTGTGTAGTCCAATTAAAGAGTATCCTTCTAATCAGCACGCTGGACTGGACATGTCTAAAGGTTTTACTTACCTTCTGTTGCTCACAGAACAGCCCTCTTTAACACGATTGTTCCAAAGTACCCTATGCTTTTAACTAATTTTACAGCAGTTTAAGGGGCCATTGTTTGCATCACTGTCCACTTGCCTACAATGTCAGAAAGGTACTTAATTCAAGGACAAATCCTGAATAATACCTGGAGGAGGAACACAGACAAGTCCCCCCTGTGTGTATGTGTGTGTGGGGGGGAACTTTAAAATTATTAAAATTAAAAAAATTACTTAAAAAATAAAATATCTATTTTTTTTTTTTTTTAAAATATCTTTATTGATTTCAGAGAGAGGAAGGGAGAGGGAGAGAGAGATAGAAACATCAATAATGAGAGAGTCATTGCTCGGCCGCCACCTGCACGCCCCCGACTGGGGACCGAGCCCGCAACCCAGGCCTGTGCCCTGACCGGGAATCGAACCCCGATCACCTGGATCCTAGGTCGACGCTCAACCGCTGAGCCATGCCTGGCCAGGCAAAAATAAAATATTTTAAATTTATAAATATTTTTTCTTATATTTAGTTGTTTGAGCCTGGGGAGTCCAGGCCAATCAGAAAGAACGCATGTGCCAGAGAGAGGAAATAAATGACGCTGTGAACCACATCAGGAGCAGCTGGCAGCTCCTATGCAGCGGAAAGCCATGGCCTCCAGGTCCTCGCCAGATGAGGAGCAGCCTGGGCAGCCTGGATTTACCCTCCTTTCATGGGGTCAGAGATCATTCCCTCTTTGCATAAAAATCCAAGGAAGAGAAATGAAACCAACTCCAAACAGAGCTCATTCGGTCATACTTGCTCTTTTCCTTCCTACTTGGCTACACTATTTTAAATCTTAAACTACAGGTTTGTGAGGATGAGCATTTGTTGGGAAAAATACTGTGGAACACAATCTGAACCCTCATTTTCCTGCAGGATTTAGAATTTTCACTATTACATAATATCTCAAGTATTAAAATGGTATGTCATGAGCTCTGGTGCACAGTGTTAAGTGACGGCTGTACCTGTGTATGTGCCAGGTGGAAAAAAAGCACGTGTGGATTACAGATATGCACCATGTCACATCTGTCCACTCTGCTGTTTTAGGGGTCTTTTGATTTTCTCAAACTTAATGGTCTATCACAAGACATAACATCACTCAGCTTTGGAAATGACAGAGCTGAGTCTTGGGTGAATTAATTAATTAACATGATAACTTTTATTAAATACTGCCTCCCACTGCTTCTATAAGAAACAATTCCCAAAAAGACTTCCAAGAAAGTCATATTTATCCTGTACTAAAAGAAAAACAGTCTCTAATAAAATCATATTATATACTGTACCATTGGGACCTTAATTACTTCAGGACAAATACAGAACTTCAAATTATAAACATCTACCACAGGGAGGAGAAGTGCAGGTGATATACAGTTATTGCTCCATGATTCATATTGTGAAACCCTTTGACCTAAAATGGTTTCATGGGGACCTAAAATTTCTCTCCCATTGCTTTCAAAAAGTATGAATGTAAAATCTGGAACCCGAGCAGGAAGCATCTCTCATTTTGGAAAATCCTAAAACTACTCTGCATACAAATTAGGCAAAACTAGACTTGAATTATTTCTCCAAACTTACTTCTTAATCGCCTAAGAACAAACCAGTTAACATTTTTTCTCAGATTCCCAAGATGGGGGAATATATGTTCTAAATTATTTTAGCAAAATGTTACTGCTCTAAAATTATCCACAGAATTCAATGTCCCTAAATTTCTCTGAATAAGTGAGAATGAGATATTAGGCGTGGAGGCGAGAGAAACTGGGCACAGGAGGTGGAGAGGCCAGCACTTGCTGAGGTTGGTCACAGAACACTTCATGTTCAGCTTCTGATTGTGGGTAAATTTTATGCATCTGAAAAGCTTTAGTTAATACTAAGGACAAAACTACTTCATCTGTTGAACTATAGTTTTGGTAAAAGATAAATAGTCCCAAACCAGATGAATTTACAGACTTTGATTCCACCGGTCTTCCAAATCCAGGTACAAGGTATGGGATGGAAGTGAGGTGGCTGAGGCCGATTTACAAAAGCAAAGTATCTGGTAACGAGGACTCTTCCTATAAAAGTCTACTCCTGTATTACATGGCTCAAGGAAATAAAACATTCTCTGAACCACTTTGGGATAGCATTTTATAGTAAACTTTGAAGACAAAAGTAGATATAACATCCACTGGGACCAACTGAGAGAGTGGTGGTCAAGTGTTCTACAAGACTAACCAGTAAACCAAAAAGACAAGTGCTTGGTTCCTCCCCTCCGGCGAAGTCTTTGCTGACAAGCAGAGCTGAGCTGTTTCCTTTCCTCATAAGTGAAGCCCAGAAAGTGAATGTTTACTAAGTAAAATGATTCATGCCTCATGTGCTTTACCCTCAAGTCCTTCATTTACTGCAAAAAAATATCTCCCAAGTTGTCCAAAAGACTATCTTTATGGTATCTCTCTTAATAATTTCAAATTTACTCATGGCCATTGTATTTTTACTAGGCCAGGTTGGAATTTTTCTGTAAGTGCTTACGTAATAAATTCCAAATTTTAAAAATGAAAAGCACAGTTGTTAGTACTGATTAGCTACAGTACTTTGACTTTTTAAATTTAGCATTATTGAAAAGTGCTATACAGTGTGCACACACACATATAATACACACGTACATTTACACACGTATAAATATTCACTTAGTATAAAGCTTGTGCCTTTATTCAAAGTATACTGATGGAAGGCAGAGTAAGACAGGAGGCGGTGCTCACAGCTCCGTCTCTCCAGCTGCTCTAAACTCCCACGGCCGGGCACAGCCGACCCCACAAGGACAAGGCCCCGGCCGCGCGGCCGAGCGCACAGGCCCGTGCGCCGCCACTCGCTCCTTCAGGTCCGAGAGAGCAGCCCCGCACACCTGCGGGGGCTCAGTCTCCAGGCCCTGGCGCTTTCCATGCCCCTTTCCACCCAGGGCAGGGCCACTCAGTTTACTAACAGCCCTGCGTTAGCTCGGCTTTCACACTCGTCCCACGGCGTACTCGCCAGGGTGGTAGTAAGAGGAACTTCTGCTGCGACAAAGGTCAAGGGGGAAAAGGGGGACCCGACTCCCCTGACACTCGACATAAGCAAGTGACACTTGCACAGCACGGATGTCCTGGATCTTGCTAAACTAGGAAAAACAACAGTTACCTGCCTTTTCCTGGAACCGGGGAGCCACCACGCCAGGCTTCCAGGAGCAAACGGGTAAAGGAACCCAGGGGACCGGGCATCAGCCCGGGAAGCTGGGAGCCGGACAGACACGCAAAACAGCGGGAGCGGACTTCGCCGAGTGCCTTCCGCGGTGCCAGGCCCCTCTCTCACGAAGTTACCCCAGTCGGGTCACCCTCTAACCGCTGGGACCTGTAGTTGCCCAGCTTCCGACACGAGGGAGGGGAAGGGAGGCTGTGCGGAGGCCGCCGGCGCCCCGGACAGGCACAGCNGCCCCAGGGCGGGCAGGTCCCGGGCCCAGCCTCTCACCATGACTCGAGGCGCCCCGGCCGTGAAGGCCCCAGGAGAGGCCGGTTCAGGCGGGGAGCCCCCCGTTCCTGGCCTGGGGGGCACCCGTCCAGCCGGGGCTCCACCTCCGCGCGGTTTCCTGCGGCCGCTGGGACCCCCGGCCGCTGGGACCTCAGCGCAGGCGCAGCCCTCGCGCCCCCGTGTCACA